TCAGGTGGAGTAAATATCTAGATGTTTCAAGAGCAAAACTTTAAAACTTTGAAAGGAAAATATAGGTATATATCTCTGTGCCTTTTGAAACAATAGAAACACTGGAAAATGTAATCATTTTGATTGCCTGATAATTATAATCTTTTATATAACAAAAATACAATCTGTTAAATGAAAAACAAGCCACACAATAGGAGAAATTATTTTCAATATATATAACTGAACAAAGGATTTGTACCCATATTATATATTTTTTCTAAAATGTCTGAGAATGGGATCCCTGGGTGGCGCAGCGGTTTGGCGCCTGCCTTTGGCCCAGGGCGCGATCCTGGAGACCCGGGATCGAATCCCACATCGGGCTCCTGGTGCATGGAGCCTGCTTCTCCCTCTGCCTGTGTCTCTGCCTCTCCTCTCTCTCTCTCTCTCTGTGACTATCATAAATAAATAAAAAAAAATTAAAAAAAAATAAAATGTCTGAGAATCAGTAAGAAAATTATAAACCCAATAGACAAATAGTATGAACAGATAATTCACCAAAGAGAAAACCTCAAATTCTGTATGTTTGTGAAAATATTCTCAACTTCCATTAGTAATCAGGCAATGCAAATTAGAATTTTCTTTTTTTTTTTTAATTAATGAGGGACACAGAGAGAGAAACAAAGACATAGGCAGAGGGAGAAGCAGGCTTCCTCTGGGGAGCCCAATGTGGGACTCAATGCCAGGACCCCAGGATCACAGCCTAAGCCAAAGGCAGACACTCAACCACTGAGCCAACCAGGTGTCCCGCAAATTAGAAAATTAATAAGGATATTCACACCCATTGGACTAGAAAAATGTAAAAGTCTCACAACACCGGGCGCTGCCAAAGAAATGAAAAAATATGAACTTGTATTCTCCTAGTTGGAATGTAAACTGGTAAAACCATTTTGGAAAAATATTTTGGCAAAGTTGAAGGTGCACATCACTTATTTCACTGCTATGAAGATATCCTAAAGAAAATTGCACAATTGCATAAAAAAATAAAATGTTTATTATAGCAATGATTTTCCTTCCTATGAAGCATAGTTGTATCTGTTGAGTTTTGTTTGCAATATGCATACGATACCGAACCGTGTTTAACAGCACAGACTCCAGAAACTGATTTGCCCTAGTCCTGGTTCCATCACTTATGAGCTGTGTGACCTCAGACAAGTTACTAAACCGTTCTGTGCTCAATTTTCTCTTCTCTAAACTAAAGATTATAAATAGAAACTCTGAGGATTACATGGGTTTCATGCACAGTGTTTAGAACACCTAGCCCTTAGTAAGCACTATGAGCGTTAGTTATCGCTGTTTTTTTTTTTAAATCTGAATAACTTTGTAAAGCATTTTGAAAGCAACCTTACTCCTTCCCCTTCCTGCACAATTCAGTCTTAAAGCAATTAGGTAAAGTAGAGCAAGGTAGGCATCCATGGAGAGGGGCGACCTAGCATGAGGTGTTGGAGCCAGAACAGAGTGAGGAAAGGATTCACCTGTGCTATGTGAAGGCCCAGCACTGGGTGTCTGAACCCAAACAAGGTAAGGAGGGCATTCGCATAGCAGGGGAGGATTGGCATGGAGTGTTCGAGCCTGAGCAGAGCAGGAAGGTGTCCACATTAGTAGGAGGAACAGTGAGTGGTGTGGGGAGTTAGCACCCAAGCAGGGTATGCAGCGTATGCATATGAGAACAGCCCAAAAAAGTCTGGGGAGGAGGGCATGAAGAGTGCAGGGGAGGGGGCATTTTTGAGTAGAGGGTGGTATCTATCATGAGGTGTCTGTCCAAACAGGGAAAGTAGAGGTACCATGTAAAAGAGCAGCTTGCATGGAGAGTCAGAGCCCATGCATGGTGACCAGATGTCCACACACAAGGATGGCCCAGAAAAGAACATCAGAGCCCAAGCAGGATGAATGAGTGTCAGTAAGGGGCAGGGTTGGCAACAGGGATGGGAAATTGGTTACAGGGGTAATTGATGGAATGAAATGGTCTTTTAATTATAGTGAGAGCCAGGGTTTTCTTCTTTGGAAAAAGGAGTTACAAATACAGGAAAGGAGAAGAGTGGAAACTGTCCTGCAGTATTAGATTAGAATCAAGGCCATTGTAAACACACACACATGTTCTAGCTCTGTCCGTTGAGAGGGTCTGGGAAGGGATCCCTGGGGGCACAGCGGTTTGGTGCCTGCCTTTGGCCCAGGGCGCGATCCTGGAGACCCGGGATCGAATCCCACGTCGGGCTCCCAGTGCATGGAGCCTGCTTCTCTCTCTGCCTCTCTCTCTCTCTCTCTCTCTCTCTCTCTCTCTCTCTCTCTGTGACTATCATAAATAAATTTTAAAAAAATTAAAAAAAAGAAAAGAGAGTTTCTGGGAAGAGCAACACTCCAGCAGCTACAAGTACATGTGGCACTCAGATCCCAGCTTCTGAATATCACTCTCCACTGAAAGACATGAGGGCTCTTGGAAGAAATGTCTGCTTTCAAGGCTGGAACAGAGACAGTACAAAATGAGCCTGGAACAAGAAAGAGTTCAAAGAATGATGGAAGTCAAAGGGCACAAAAGCTGGCTTGAAGGGGCTTGTACAGTTGAATCAGGGATAATCTGAATATCCAAATACATGCTAGTAGCAGATTACAACCCACTGCATCAAGGCAAATCTATGAGTCAGCAGACTATGGCCTATGGGCCAAATCCAGCCCACTGTCTGTTATGTATAGCCCACAAGAGTGGTTTTTACAGGGGAACACTTGCAATCAGTTCAATAATAGGGAATGCTAATTTTGAACCCCAATTAAGTCTAATCTTCTCCTAACCAAAAACAGAATTCCATCCTTATTAGGAGACCTGCATTATTAAAAAGAAAAAATGTACTCAACCGATCCCTGGGTGGTTCAGTGGTTTAGCACCTGCCTTCAGCCCAGGGCATGATCCTGGAGTCCCAGGATCAAGTCTCACATCAGGCTCCCTGCATGGAGCCTGCTTCTCCCTCTGCCTGTGTCTCTGCCTCTCTCTCTCTCTCTCTGTCTCTCATGAATAAATAAATAAAATCTTTTAAGAAAATGTACTCAATAATTATATTTTTAATTTTGTCACTGAAAATCTGTGGAGAATTTTTTCCCTTCTTTTTATAATAGTACCTATATAAGAGGATTTAGTTTTTGGCGAAAGCTGTAGGAGTGTTGCAAAAGAGGGAAAGAGAAGCTTGCCTCTCAAACCAAGTGATGAGGACATTAAGTGACCATATGGAGAATATACTGGGATAACAGAGTGGTGCAGTACCCGTGCCTATAAAGATATTAAAGGCAAGATACTGTGTGTGGCTGGCTAGTGCTTTGGCATTGGGGAGCAGAGAGAGCTGTGTCGGGAAGTTTCTGTTCTCCATGATGATAGGACCAATATCTTGATAGGAGCCTGGAATAGGGATGGTGGCCTGGGGGCTCTCTATAATGGGACCCTGCCCAAGAAGACGGCTTGAAGGAACTTTAGGGCCCCCCAACAAGAATCTGTGTGGTTTGGACCCCAGGACACCCATGAGCTAAGGAAGGAATGGTAAGTGGGCAGCTAGAGGAAAGGCATGGTCTGTATCAAGGAAGCTGTCATCAGAGGAACCCAACAGGAGCATCACCAAGAAACATGTGATCCAAGAGAAGAATGTCCGTTTTTAATATGCACCAAGGCTAGAAAATACCAGCATGCTTACAGCTCACTACAATGGTCAAGTGAGACCTTTCTGTTTCTTAAATCTTTCCCCTATCTAAGCAATGGTCTTGAGTAGACAGGAGGAGAAGGGATCAGCCCAGTGTTTCAGGGGAGGGACCTGTCTCAATAGAATAGAGGCTGTTCATCTTGTAGCTGGGGATGGTGGGGGTGGGGTGGGGGATCAACTAGGAAAGTGTAGCTGGATTTCCCAGCAGTACTGAGCCTCATTTAGAGATGAGTCATCTCACATTTAGGAGAAGACCAGGCCATGCAGCGTTGACTTTCTTCTGACCATGTCTGCTTGCTTGGAAATGGTACAGAACAGAAAGCTGGATTGACCAAGGTTTGGGTTTTGCTGGGTAAATACACTGGAGGAAGACAAGTACGTGCTGTGTGAGTACCCTGAAGGGCCATGATATCTACCATGGGGCAGGAGGGAGGTGAAGACAAGAGGGGGATGAAGGGCACTAAATCACAGGGCCAGCATCACAAAGTGCTCATGAGTATGAAGAATTGTGGGGTTGGTTGTGTCTATAAGCAGCCATCACAGACAACCCTAAAATAGAAGACATAAATCTGTTAACACCACTCATACCCACCTCTCTGCCCTTTCAACCCTTCAGAGGCTTCCCACTGCCTGTCATCTGACCCTCCTGTCCTTGGTGTGCTCTGTATAATCCTTCAAAAAAATGCAGGAGCTGTGAATCTAGCTCAGTTCTTAGCCCTGCAAAGCCACTGAAAGGATTTTTCCCCCAAGTTTCAGTCCCTATACTCTGTTTTTCTGCACACTGCTATTTCTGGATCTGCATACCTTGGATAAAGCTCAGTCATTTTCAGAAAGAAAAATCTACTCAGAGCTGGAGTAGATGCCCAGGGCTCTCTCCACCCCAGCTGGGTGAAATGCCCTCCCTTTCATCTACAAATGTTTCCCATAAGAGAGCTTTGGGAAAGAAGTGGTATTCCAACTCCTTTGAGTGGGGTCCAAGAAATAATAGGGAGACACAATAGCCACAGACCCTCCAGGACCCTCCAGGTAAAATGGCAAGGGCCGGAGACCCAGATAACGTCAGGGAACTCCAGCCAGAGAACTGTCCCTTTGAGCACAAGGCGCTCAAGAAGCTGTCACATCATCTTGACTCTATAAGCTGAAGTGTGTACAATTTGGAGCTGGCTGGGGAAGGTAGAAACTCCTGACCTGTGTGTTGAGCTGTTCTGGTCAAGTACACGTGGTAGGTAGACCACCATCCCACTCCCCACCAAAAATTGTTTTTCAACCTCTTTTCTCTCCCAGGACGTTTCACCTTGGGAACACAGAATCTCCTTAAAGAAATGGAGCCCACTCTAAACCTCCCTTGGTGACGTGGCCATGGCTTCTAATGAGAGCGGTTCTAACACCAATGCATTTATTATCCTCAGACTCTAAGTAAAAGAGGAACTCCCACAGCATGCTCTGGAGCCAGCCCTCACTGGCTCACAAGAATGAACTGTCCAACTTTCCAGAACCTTGTGAGCTGCTCGTTAAAGTCATACAACATTCGGAATTCACTTATATAAACTGACAACGTCACATTAAAGACAAAGATAATAGATATTGGAAACTCATCACGTGCTAATTGTTCTACTGTATTTTACTATTATCCATGCTCTTGATGTTATGTACCTCTGTTGTATCTATATGGCAGAAATATTGTAAAATGAAGCTCTGATGAGCATCTCTTCCTAACTCTGCGTTCAGTGACTTCAGTTTTGGTAGCTCCAAATAGCCTGTGGGGATCAGCAACCACACTCCTACTTCCCAGAGAGTGGGGCACACTGCTGGACCCCGGGGACCCAAGGGAATGCAGTTAGCATGCCTGCAGCATCGCCCTGCCATGTTCTCTGGCCTCCCCCCACAGCCTCCTCTCTGTGGGGAGGGCACAATGCTGCATTTACTTGAAGGGTATCTTGGCCAGATGGTCTCCCTCAGACAGCGGTGCTGAGGAGCTGGCTGAGGAAATATTTTCCCAGCTCTGCCTGGTTTCCTTTCAAATGGGAACAAAATCAGTTCTAAGGAATGCAGCTGGTAGGTAAGTAAATAGGGCAGCTGTGATGTGAGTTCCAGCTGAAGTAAAGCAAACTTATGAGTCTGGTTTGTATAAAACGCAAGCTTATAGATTCAGATTTTCCTCCTATCCTGCCCTCTCGTCTCTCTCCTATAACAGGACTTAGTCTGTGGCTGCACTGCCCTCCCCCTTCCCCAGGGATACAATCGGCACCTGGCTGTTCCTTGGCTCTAGGACAGGATAAACTTGCTGTTTTCTGGACACTTGTTTCCAGTGGTGGAGCTATTTATTTCTCCTTTCATAGTGGACATTGCTTAGGCACCATGGGACTCTTTCAAGGGCCCACATTCAAGGATCCGCTGTTCTGAATTAGAATAAGCCTCCAGCCCCAATTCCCTTGGGGAATTTCACTGGAGCTCAGTCATTTCACTCCAGGGCCAAGTACAGGACAGGGAGGAGTGGGGGAACCTAGCAGCTTTGGGAATTCAGCTAGATTTCTGATCCTCCCTAAAAATACACAATTTTCTTTTTTATGCCAAAACCTGTTGGTGAATTAGCCACTCTAAAGATGCACTGTGGACATGTATTCCATGCTAGTATGTGCCAATGCTGCTCCAGAAATGGCTGCATCTACCAGCTTCTACTTGTTCATATGTATGTGTTAGTATGTAGTGGAATCATCTATCATGAATCCAAATGTCTAGAGACGTATATGTATGTAGACAAGCTTATGTGGGTGCCATATTGTAGATATCTGGCGTTTGAATGTGTACAGGAGGACGTATGCAGCTGTGTGTGTTCCCTCTGCCTGCACCTTTGTGTATGCAGACATGACAATGTGTGTGCAGGAGGAAGCCCAGTGACTTCCACAAAACTGATTCAAATGCTTGGAGAATGTCACAATCTTCTAAAAATAGAAGAACTGAAACATTTTGAAGAAAGGATTTCTTTTAATAGAAACACACCCAAACATATTTCTTTTTAAAGACTCCCCATGTGTAATGAGAAAATACCAAATATTTGCATTTTTCTATCCTGATAAGGATTGTTGATTTTCTCCAGGGACATATTTCATCATTCAATTTAGGCTAAAAGTTCTTTAGAGGGAAGGTCCTAAGGGGAAGGGGGAGAGGTCACAGGCCCTGAAGGGATAGGTTTGAATGTATCAAGCTTCCCTTGCTTCTTTCCAGCTGCTACCATCTGCCTCTAAAACATCTTGGCCCTCTTCCCACTGTTCAAAGGGAAGGAGCTTGTCTCTAGCTGTGGATTCATTTGGTACATGGGCAAGGGCCTAGGGGGCCATGACCTTCTTTCTTTTGAGGACAAGAAGACACAAAGATGACATAAAATTGTGTTGTAGCAGAATGAGATTAGAACCAGGGGGGAAATGTCTACTTCTTTATGGGCCAAGGATTTTCTGTGATGTTCGTGGAGTCTCCTCCAGAAGATTCTAAGAAGAGACTCATTGCTCCCTGACGTAGATTGAAAGTAGGGTCATGGAGAGGCATACAATTAGCAGGATGACCTCTGGAAGTTTTGACAGTACAATAACTTATATCTATTCGGCCTTTGTTATAGTGGCATGGATTGAAGGTTTTGTGTGTATCAATTCAATCTCCACAATTGTGTAAGGAGACCTCTATTTCACACATGAGGAAAATGAGACACAAAGAGGTAGGCACTTGGCCAAGGTCATGGAGTTGATAATAGATTATACAATGGGTCCAGGGTTCACACTCAGGTGGTCTGGCTCCAGAGTCCATGCTGTTAGCCATTGGGCCACCCAAGTCCTGCCAATTTGGCTTCATGTTTCTATGTTGCTTCAGAGAAGTCAATGCCTTTTCTTTAGGGCTCCCATACAGAAGTTTAAGGTTAAAACAGGTAGACATCAAAGGTTCCCAACCACCAGGAGTGCTTTTAGATGTGTGTGTTCATGCCATGAAAACCCTAAGCTGGAAGGGAATCTCAGGAGGTCACCTGTCCTCATGGGTCAAGGTTGAAAAGTTTCTGCAGGATGGAAGCTAACATTCATTGAGCACCTGGTATCTAACAGTTGCTGAGCTCCTTGCCTGTCTCAATGACTAGCATTTCTCAAGTCACCGGGTCTTGACACAAACCCTTTGTAACAAACCCTTTGCTCTGTATTTTCCCTGACAGTTGTAAAGTGTATCTTAAGTAAAAGCCTGCCAAGCACACAAACTTCTTCTAAGGAAAATTTCCTTGCTTACAGCCCCTGTAACCTTGTGATTCTGTCTCTCTGGATACAGTTGCCTGGAGGCAAAGAACCCAATGGCAGCCAATTCACAGGCTGGCCAGTCCAGGCTAACAAGGTGAACTGAGATAATCCTATATGGTTGCTCTCAGGAATCTAAGCTAGGAACTATTGGAAAAAGGAAATAGATAACAGTGGAAGTTAAGGTGGAAAGATATACAAAGAAGAGAACGGCCATGATGGTCATGCACAAAATGAGGTTATAAGGGAGCAGAACTGGGACTGAACAGAGGCTATGAGGAGAGAGAGAGAGAGAGAGAGAGAGAGAGAGAGAGAGAAATGTGGAAAGAGAGATGAAGAGACAGAGAGAATGTGGCTGAATCCCAATGGCCTTCTGGTTTCAGAACAACCACAAGGCCCTGTACACCCTAAAGCAGCTTGAGTGAGCTCCTTGCAACCAAAAGGCCTGCTTAGAATTCCAAAGTTTTCAAATCATTTATTTTTTTATATTGTTAGAATTCAGACTTGATGTTATCCCATAATCAGTCTTTTGTTGATTTGTGTGTGTGTGTGTTTTAAGATTTATTTATTCATGAGAGACACAGAGAGAAAGGCAGAGACACAGGCTCCTCACAGAGAGCCCGATGCAGGACTCAGTCCTGGATCCCGGGATCATGCCCTGAGCCAAAGGCAGACAGTCAACCTCTGAGCCACCCAGGAGTCCCTAATTTGTGTTTTAAAATGCCATTTTGATGGGCAGCCCTGGTGGCTCAGCGTTTTAGCGCTGCCTTCAGCCCAGAGTGTGATCCTGGAGACCTGGCATCGAGTCCCACATTGGGCTCCCCACATGGAGCCTGCTTCTCCCTCTACCTGTGTCTCTGTGCCTCTCTCTCTTTCTCTCATGAATAAGTAAATAAAATATTAAAAAAAATAAAAATAAAAAATAAAAGGCCTTAAAAACCATGTACTAAAACCAGTACTGGGAACTGTGAGCAGAAGTTAAAGACGAAGGTTGTCCAGAGGACAAATGCTTATATCAGGGCTGCCCTTAAGAGACCAAACCTTGGTCCATCAGCAAAGTGGGGAGCTGGACCCAATACTCTGAGGTTAAGCCAAGGACACATGGGGATAAATTCCCTGCTCAGGACTGCCGCTTGCTTCCAGCAGAAACTAATGCTAATTCTCACTGAGGAAACATTTTCACTTTCATTCTCCAGGTTTTTCAGAAATTCAATCAAGCAACTAGGAGATCACAATCACAGATCACCAAATACTCAAGAGATAAACCACCACAGCACACGTAGCCCCCTGTCTCCTCATAAGGGCTTCAGATATCGAAATGATGAGATACAGAATAGAAAGTCATGATATAGAAAATGTTTAAAGAAATTTGAAACAGGGATCCCTGGGTGGCGCAGCGGTTTGGCGCCTGCCTTTGGCCCAGGGCGCGATTCTGGAGACCCCGGATCGAATCCCACGTCGGGCTCCCGGTGCATGGAGCCTGCTTCTCCCTCTGCCTATGTCTCTGCCTCTTTCTCTCTCTCTGTGTGACTATCATAAATAAATAAAAAATTAAAAAAAAATTTAAAAAAAAGAAAAAAAGAAATTTGAAACAGGGTGACAAATATGAGCAGGGAACTACATATCACCAGAAGTGACCAGGCATGTTTGAGAAAAGAACCAAAAAGACATTTCACAGATGAAATATCATATTTTGGGGGGAAAGTTTTTATTTTTAATAATCTCTCCTCTCAACATGGGGCTCGAACCCACATCCCCAAGATAAAAAGTCACACACTCTACTGACTGGAGCCAGCCAGGCACCCCTTGGTGAAACACCATAAGAAGCTTAGACAGAAGATGAGTCATAGCTCAGGAGAGAATAAGCAAAGTATAAAATAAGACAAAGAGAGAGAACATATGAAAAGCATTAAGCAAGAATGAAGGATAGAATAAAAAAAACTGAATAAACATCTAATGAGAATCCCAGGAGACAAGAGAGTGAATGGAGGAGAGATAATATTTGAAGAGAATTTTCCAGAACTGAGGAAAGACATGAATCTAGAGAGGAATACAACATATACCATGAGGAATGAACACACAGAAATTCACACCTAGACACATCTCGAGGAATGTGAAGAATAATAAAGTCAAGGAGAGGATCTTGCCATCAGTAAAAGAGTAAAGCAAAATCACCAGCAAAGGCATGAAATGTAGACAACCGCAGACTTCCCAACAGCAGTGATGGAAACCAGAAGTTGTGGAATCATATTGAGGGGAAAAGAAACCTCTCATCTGGCAATTGCGTAAACAGAAATGTTATTATTCCTAATAGAGGGTGAAATAAA